GGGGTGAGAGGGGAGGGGGAGCACCCCTCAAAGAGGGGAGAGCGAGGAGTGCCACGAGCAGCACCTACAGCGAGGATGATCTTCTCTGCTGCAAGGAGGTGCTTCTCAAAGTCGTTGACAGTGAGAGTGGGGGGGTCTAGCACTAGGAAGTGGTCCGTGACCGAGCTAAAATTGTCAGGGAGGCGCGTAACGAGGAAATAGAGAGTGAAGTACATCGGGGGGGGGGGAGGCTGCGGCGCAGAACTCGGCTGAGAGGGCGGCACGAAAGCGAGTGTCAGTAGCGCGAAGGTGAGAAATGAGGTCCTCAGCAATGGTGAATGAGGAAAGGTCGGGGAATAGGTAGGGTAGCATGAGTCGACCTATGGCTGCAGTGGCCGGGGAGGAGTAGCGCGTAACTACAGCGTCGTACAGCTTCTTAACGGTTTTGTGCTAGCTGAAATGCGCGCACTCAGTGATCGGCAGATGGTTCCTAATAGCTAGGCGTGCAGCAGAATCGCGAGTCTGCCACTGCGAGCGTTCGAGAGCAGGAGCATCAGCAGCAGGAGCAACAGCAGTGCCAGACACGTAATCGAACAATGAAACGCCCTCTTTGGCATCGGTCAGAAGGAACAGTTGCAGGTCGTCTAGCCACACAGTGAACTCTATGGGGCGACCGTCAGGCTCGAACGCGAGAACATTAGGCGTCGTCATAACAGCAGTAGGTAAAGGCAGCAGAAAGCAGGCAGGCAGTAGACAAGAGGCAGTATGCAGTAGACAGCAGGCTAAGACAGAGGCAGTAGACAGTAGAGGCAACGTGTAGGGCAGTAGCTTGCTGCACCCGAGCTTGTAAGGTGGGGCTCTAGACAGTGGCAGGCCGTACAGATCGAAGGCAGTGGGTTCGGCAGCAGTGAGCCTCACACGCAAGTACACAAGTAGGGCGCGCGCGGCTGATGGCTGCGTGCGGCTAAGGGGCCGCGCGTGGCTCTCTGCTGCGCGTGGCTACGTGCTGCGCCCGGCTCCTGGCTACGTCCTGCGCACAAGCGCGGGCGGCGGGCTCTACGTCGCGCGCGGGCGCCGGGCTCTGCTGAGGCTGCGCGCGGGCGGCGTAAGGGGCGCGCGGGCTCTACGTGGGCTACGCGTGCGACGCGGACCGGCGCGCGGCTCTGCTGCAGTGGCGCGCGCTAAAAATCAGAGACTCGCGCGCTAGAAACCGAGGCGCGCGCGAGAAAAATAAGTGACGCGCGCTGCCGTCGAGGCGCGCCCGAGCAGCAGGCAAGGCAGGTAGGTAGGTGGGCCCGATTCGTAGGTCCTAGAGACCTCCTGCTCTAGTTACCTACCATGTTTAGAACCTAAGGCAAGGATGATGAATTAGGTGAAGGCTAGGGTACAAGACTAGGGTATCGAGAAAGTTTGTGTACCCCCTAGTGCTAACCCCCATGCAGCCTAGATAACCCAAACAAGCATATATATACAATTTGACAAGTCGTACACTTGTAGAATCTATAATTGGGATGGACGAGAATGATGTAATTACTGTAACTGTAATGAAGCATGTTACCCGCAACTGCAATGAACCACATTGCCTTTGCAAGAACAGAAAGCAAGCTTTCTCAATTTCAATTTTCAACATTTTTGGTACAGCTATGGGAAATTCCCAACTCTTCTTTCTCCATTTTCGAGCCGAAGCATTATTGACTTATATGACAAATCAGTAGTGGAACTTTAACTCACCTTTTTCATACTATTTGTGGTGGATTAAAAACGTTGTGGCCCTCCCTAGTTTTAACCAACAGGATGCCAGGGTCTAGAGTTTAGGGATATGGCCCCTTCATTAGGATTTGAGGTTTTGGGAAATGGCCCCTTCATTGGTAATGGCACACAGGTTTCGCCCACATACCAAAGCATTCAGGCTATGGGCATCGCATGATGTTACTGATGTCATTGGCTCTGTCCAATCATAACTTGTGTGGGAGAGGAATAAGTGTGAAGAACAAAGTGAGGGTAGCGAAAGGAGAGGTGCACAGGGCGCTGGAGCTAAGAGTCAGGTGCCGCAGGAAGTAAGTGACACATTAAGGATGGGGAAGGGCGTAAGAGATATGGAGACACTCGAGAAGCGGAGGATGCGGTGCGAACGAGGAAGCACTAAGGAGAAGCGAACAACTAGAGGAGGATTGAGGGGGAGGTGTGGGTAAGTGGGCAACGGGAGGTATGAAATTGAAGGAAGAACGAACAAAAGAAAGAGGGGGAGCTGGTGTTGGGAGGGATGAAAGAGGAAAAAGAGAGGCGACGGAGGACGGAGGGAACAGAGAAGATGAGGGATGGAGGTAAATGGAGGGGAGAGTGTGCGGGGAAAGAACACAGTACTGAGGAGTAGCAGGACAAGGGAGGACGGGAGGAAAGCGTACAGAGGAAGTGCAAGAGACTAAGGACACCGACTGGGGTGGACAGATAATAGGCAGCAAGAGGGAGGAGGATAATGGTTGGGGGGAACAAAGCAGGAAGGTGGGGAAAATGGGGAAAGAAGAGGAAAGACATGGATAGAGATAGGATGGAATGAGGCGATCAAGAGGAATGTTGAGAAAGAGGGGCAGGGACTAGATGGGCCTGGAGAAGGCAGAAGAAAACGTCAACCATCACGGGAGATAAGGTAAAGGTTGGTTTCAGTACGGGAGAAGATTAGAATTGCTGAGTGTATAAACTTCTTTCAGCTAGAATGTACATGTACCACACGTGAATAACGTACACATAGAGATTGTAAGCAACTATAACGTCAAGCTGCCAGTGCTGCTTGACCCAGCTACATACCTTCTCAAACATTTAGGCAGGAGAAAAACATCCTCAGACCTTGCTTGGTGCTATAGCCAAAAACGCTTCGATGAAAAGCAGTTAATGAGAACATCAGCAGCATCGGCATCCGTAAGAAGCAGGAAGCTGAGCATGTATGAAGGCAACTAGATGGCCTCGATGTGATCGACGTTAGGAGTGCGCCTATTGGTAGGAGCTTCAGCGAAGTCACTCCCCTTCAGCTCTGCCGACGTCTTGTCAATTGCTCGGTTCAGCTCGGCAAGCTTTTCATTCATTTTCCTCCGCTTTTCCTGAAACGCGAGCCATGCGACAAAATGAGCTACATCGACTTACGGGAGAAAACGCGATATCGAAGTGAGAGTTCAACCTACCTCGAGGCTATCACTCTCGCTTATCCACTTCGGAAGTTTCGGCGCGGAACCCTCCTCGTTTATCCCCAGAATGGCCTTCGAGATCTACCGGGGATGGATGGGGTTTCAGGTAACATACTTTTACACACGACGTTCCACATCCACGAGATAATCTGTTGCAGAATCACCAAATGACTAACCTGAGGTGCGAAAAGGTAGCCGAGGGCGCCGAATACAACACCACCTAGAATGAAGCCAGGAAAGAACCCACCACCGCTCTCTCTCCTGCAATGGTTGAAGATATTCGCAATAAGCCAGAGGCAGGAAAAAACACACACTTAACAACCCGAAAGAAAGCAGCCATGCCGCTAAAATGAAATAGCGGCCGGACAAGAAGACACGGCATGTCACCTGTAATCAGAATCTGCCACAACAAGTGTCCGTGTTGCTTTCCGTCTGCTGTTGACAGCCCTGGAAACCACCAGTTTCGGTGACAATGTCAAGGACTTGGTTCCAGCAAGGCCTTGGAAGCTAGGGACTCCTGAAACGGTACCACGTGGAAAGGTGAAAATCAAGCGACGACGCAAGTCGGCACCGCGAACGTATAAATCGCACCGTTCTTACCTAGCGAGCTCTTGGGTGCAAGAAGGACGGCAGTGCTACTGGCACTAAACATTTGAGTGGATGCCATGGCTGAAGGAGCGGAAGATCTAGAGCTGGCGATGCGAGGGGCAGTACAGTGAGTGATGCCACGGGAAATATAATGAAGCCTGGTTACTAGGTTTCTGATTGACAGGACGAGCCAGGGAGCAGGAGCTGAATTGCTGAGAGAGTAATGCGGAGATGGATCAGATGTTTGATCTGGAAATCCCAGGTGTTCGGCGGTTGCGACCCTGGCGACTTCGGCGAAGTCGAATGTGTCAACCAATCTGCCAATGACGCGAGCGGTGTTCCACTTAGTAACGCTCTTCGCTAAGCAACTCTGGAGGCTCAATTTCGAGAAAGGTGAGTCTTGTGACGTGTCGACGTCCGAGAAAGCCCATCACTCTCGCAGACGTGGCTGTGCATTGCTGTCACCAGATATCTGATCACTGTGGCTGGTAACCACGATGCTATTGGCGGACGATTTTGTAGGCCCTTGCGACACCTCATTGGCGAACAGATTTCCTTCTTGCCGCGCTGTAACGTCCGCGAACCCAGCACCCGCTTGGGAATGGCTCGCTAGGGCGTCGGGGATTCCGTGGTCCCATCTCTTCGTCTTGGCTCGTAGGGCCATCTCGATTCTCGACAAGCTATTGGCTGTATCGTGCTGACAAATTGTTCCATGATGACTCAGCCCAGCTGAATCTCTCGAGAATGCCGCCGAGTCGCTTACCTCCAACACCCAGCTTCTCGAACCTCGATGTTAGCGAGACAACGTATAACAGCTTTCTCTTTACTTTCAACCTGACCTTACCTCCCGTTCACCTCCTAAGGCGTATCAGGCTGATCTAAGCTCAGCAGTAGCCACGCAGGGCATCGATCTTCCGATCAAAGCTGCTTCTAGGGCCGCCGCGTTCTGTTATCCAGGCAGCCTGTCGCGCCATAAGCCACGCAGAACCCTAGCGCGTTACGTCGTCCACCAATGGCGTGCCTAGCTGCTAGCTCCCAAGTCGCCTTCAGAGGCGTGGCTCTCAGCAATTCGCAGGTCAGCATATCTTCATCCACGCAATAGAGCCCACGCCCCGTGCTCTTCCGTTTCTCAGGCTGTTTCAAAGGTCGCAACTTCAGACGCTGTGTAAGCCATGAGAATTCTCGAACCACGCTCTTATTACTCAGGCTGTTTCCCAGGTCGCAGATTCAGTCTTAACGGCGGTATCATGGTGAATGCAGGCGGTCAGCAGCACGAGTGTGGGTAAAAATGCCGCCAGACGATCGGTGGTTCGCTGCAAGGTGGCCTCGCCTGGAGTCGAGAAGGCCGATGCGTCCGCGTCCGCCGGCGAGTACACGCCGACAAGCGACGCGTCCACAATGAACCTCATGTCCGGCGCCATCAACGCGCTCTTCGGCTTCCAGGTAGATTGGACATATTTCGTAGATCTTGAAAACGAGAAATGAATTTTCAATCGAAGTAGAAACAACTCGAAGGCGTCCTGAATGAACTTCATGATCCCGGGCATGCAGCAACATGATCCCGGGCATGCAGCAACATTAGACAATTGAAATCCTTAATGTACGCATGTTGCGAAGGTCGGATTGAGTGTTTTCTTCTCTCACTCCTTGGCCCCCCTCCGATTCCGTTCCCGTGTCGGCATCGCAGCCTTTTTTCAGGTTTGCAGCGGGAAAGGCGCGCGAGATGATGGTCAAACGAGGGGATGCCATCGGTTTCCCATGGGCGCCGCGTCTCGCGGAGCTCAAGCGGCACGACTGGGACGAGGAGCTGCGATTGGTCGCCGCCACGAGCCGCGTCCCCAGGGACGCCAGCGGGGAGTACGTCTACCCGGAGTACTACACGAAACCGTTCCACGCGTACGAAAAGGGTAACCTTTCGCTGGACGCGGCGCTGGAGGTGGAGCTGGCAGCGAAGGCTGTGCACGCCCCGGTCTTCGACCCCGAGGTAGGTTCCTACCTTTCTATCTTTCTTTATCCGAGGCTCCAGAACCAGTTCTGACTCCTCCAAACACGCTGAAGCGAATCCGACCAGTGCATCTTCGAGAGAAAGCGCAGGTGAAGGAGAGGTCCATTGATTTAGCGCGTTACTCAAAGCAAGTGAGAGCATAGAACACACACCACAAGAAGCTGGTCAAATTCTGGGGTCCCATCCCGTAAACACCTCTCTCCCTCTCCCCTCTGTCCCCTGTTCTTCCCCCCGCCCACCCGTTCCCGCCACCACTTCCCCCTTCCTTCCTCTCCCTTTGTTCCCTCTCCTCCATCCCTATCCCTCCCCCTCGACCCACAATAGAGCAAGACGCTGGACCCGGAGGGCGATGCGAATCTGCGGAGGGGGTACCACGCGAAGCTGGTGGAGCAGCTGCGCATCCAGCCCAAGCACATCGTCGACCTGGGCTGCGCGTCCGGCCTCAGCACCTTCGCGCTCGCCGAGGTAAGCATGCATGCCGCCATGCGCGCGTGTTTCCATGCAAGCCTCGTGTGAGCCTGCTTCCAGCCCAAGAGCGTCGTCGACCTGGACTGCGCGTTCGGCCTCAGCACCTTCGCGCTCAACGAGGTAAGCCTGGACCCAAAAATCGTCTTTCTGTAGCGCTCTTTTCAAACATCCGTCTTGTGCATTCCTTCCCGAGTCCCTCGCCACTTTGCCTTCGTGCATTCAGGGATGCTGATTCGGGCGCTCATTCCCCTGCTGCTCATGCTGTTCACTTGACTCTCCTGCACAGCGTCAACTGAAGGGCCCCTTGGCTCTCCCTTCATCTTCGTCCGGTTCTCCCTGTGCAGACCTTCCCTGAGGCCGAGTTCATCGGAGTGGACCTCTCGCCTTACTTCGTTGCTGCATCCAATTACAACGTCCGGGAGAAGAGCAAGCAAGCGGTGAGCTTTGAAACGCTTCATGTAAGGCGAGCATGGCCCTCTCTGTCCTCACTGCACGTCACAGGAAGAGACGTAGTGTGGTACGTCTCTCAGGTTAACTCGTTGATCTGTCACGCTTTGTCCTTCTGGATCCAAGTGCTGGCCCCAAATGCTAATTCTCGAATTTTCGCTCCACATCACGCACTCCTGAACTCCATTCCCAATGCTTCATTCCATAGGCGCCTCAAAAACCGAACATCTCACTCCACGATTCCCCCTACACCCTCCTAACCTGGTAGGGGCACGAGCTGCCCTCGCATACACTTTTGAGGCGCTATGGTAGCTCAACGTACTCCTTCAAACCCATCCCAACCCCTCCCAACCCGGCAGGGGCGCGAGCTGCCATTCACGTACATCCATGCAGCGGCGCAGGACACAGGCCTGCCTGCTGGCTCCGTGCCATGAACTGCCACTTACGTACTCCCTCCAAACCCATCCCAACCCCTCCCAACCGTGCAGGGGCGCGAGCTGCCATTCACGTTCATCCATGCAGCCGCGGAGGACACGGGTCTGCCTGCTGAATCCGTGGACCTGGTGTCCATCTGCCTCGTGTGCCACGAGCTGCCGCGGTCAGCCACCAAGAAGGTGAGGAGCGAGCAATGCGTGTGCGGGTTGGAGAGAGGGAGGCAGGCATGTATGCGTGTAGGTGTGGAAAAGGCACCCCAGCAGCACCAGAAGAGGGGCCTGCGGGCTGGGTGGGTGAACCTGGTGTCCCGATGCCCCATGTGCCACGAGCTGGCACGATCAGCCAACACGACACGAATGTCAGGGCGTGGGTGTGTGCACGTGTTAGAGAGAGGCGTGAGAGGTGTGAGGCTTAAGAGGGGTGTGCATGGCTGTGCTGTGAGTGGCAGAGGAGGCTGGGCTCCCTTCCATCCTCTGCCGTGGACGTGTAATCCATCCGTCTGTCTGGCTGCTGTCTGTTGAACACCATCGCTCAGCTCAGCCCCTAGGAGCGTACACGAGTGTGCTACAGGGTGGCTCCCTGGACAGTCATGGTGGGTAGTGTGTGGTTGCCACTGAATCCATTGAGGCTTGACACAGGGGAGCCGATGGCTGATAATGCACCTGCTGAGAGGCTAGAGATGTCAGGTGTTATTGGACTCCTTGTTTTTGAAACCTCGTTTTCTCAACCATCTCCGTGCACTACTCAGATTATCAACGACGCACCTCAAAGTCTGGGGGAAAGGGGTTGACTTGAGGCACCGCAAAAACCTTCTTCCTGAACCCACTGCTCCATGACCCTGACCCATGACCACTGCACAGATCATAGAGGAGGCGCATCGCATCTTGAGGCCAGGGGGCGCGTTTGCAGTGATGGAGATGAACCCACGGTCGCCCTTCTTCCAGAAGATCTCCAACAACCCCTTCACCTTCGCTGCGGTGTGTTGGTTGTGCTGCTGTGCTGCTCTGTGCTGTGTGCTCTGTGATGTGTGCTGTGTGCTCTGTGATGTGTGCTGTGTGCTCTGTGATGTGTGCTGTGTGCTCTGTGATGTGTGCTGTGTGCTCTGTGATGTGTGCTGTGTGCTCTGTGATGTGTGCTGTGTGCTCTGTGATGTGTGCTGTGTGCTCTGTGATGTGTGTTGTGTGCTCTGTGATGTGTGATGTGTGCTCTGTGATGTGTGCTGTGTGCTCTGTGATGTGTGCTGTGTGCTCTGTGCTGTGTGCTCTGTGATCTGTGCTTTGTGCCATGTGCTGTGTGCTTCCTCCAAAGGACCATCTACCTGTTCTTCTACTCTAGACTCCCGTTCCCTCCACTACCCTTCTCTCCAATTCTCTTCTCTCCACTTTTCTTCTCTCCACTTCCCTTTGTCTCTCTACTCCTTTTCCTCTCCATTCTTCTCACAACCCCCGTTCTCTCCACTCCTCCCGCCTCTTTCCACCATTGCATCACCTACAGTTCAAGGCAACGGAGCCATACCTGGATGACTACCGCACATTCCCCATCGAGGATGCCATTGCAGAGAGAGGCTTTGAGTACCCACAGCAGATGGAGAGCAGCCCTCGCCACCGTTGCATTGTTGCCCACAAGCTGTAGGGATCTAGTATATGGCCTGGAGTATGGAGCAATTGTGTATTGCAAAGTGTAGTAATAAAGGGGGCGAGGCTTATCCAAATTGGTATTCCTTGGGAAACAGGCGTCAGAATTGCTCACAGTGGTTTCCTTAGAGTCACAACAATCACACTGGGTCACGGCAATGCAGCAGCATTGCCAGCCCCTTCAAGACCAGTTCAAGGGAAGGATAAAAGGATGATACGGTAAGAGCTAATTGAGAAAACACCAGCCGTGTGCACAGTATTCCTGCACCCCTTGCTTGCCAAGTTCGTTGCACAGGCTACAACTACAATCAGCCTTCTCATTGTCATGTTTCCTAACACAAATATACACGGTAATCAAACTTGTAACAGAAACTTTGAAACCACAAAATCCTATAGCAATGCAAATGCAATTCTAGGCTAGCAGCCTGGGAGCGTCAAATGCAAGGCCCAGCAACGTCGCTTCAGATGCCTTCAACCGTTTGATACTCTCCTCCAGCCGAGCCCTTCGCTGCTGATCCACCGCCTTGAGAGCCGCTATCTTGGAAATGTCCCCACCATGAATTTCCCTCCACACAGCAGTGTCAGTATCATCGAGGAGAGAGGTCTCAAGGCACATGCGAATCTCCATGGGGATCGCATCACACAGCCGCTTGTGCATCACCTTGGCATACGAGAACATGTTGATCTGTAGGTCCCTTGCTGCCTGATCGTCATTGCTGATCAGGTTGGTCAGCGAAGCAGTGCTGGAAGCGAAATCTTCAACAGAGGGTACAGAAGGGGGGACTTGAACTTGTGCTTGGTGGTATGCCCTGGCTTTCCTGTAATCGGCCATCTTCACATGGATTTTAGAGACCGTATCCATGTAGTAGTGGTTGAGCGTGAAAATCACCTTCCGTTCCTTCTTCAGCGTGTCCTGAACAAAGCGGTTTGCAGACTCTTTGGCCTCCCTCAGAGCATTGAGCCCTTGCAGGTGAACCACGTTGTTCAACCCAGGATATATCCCGCAGGCATGAGACGCCACAGCCTGCTGCACCTCGGTTGCATACGCAAAGCAGTCATTCACCAGGAGCAAGCACAGCCCTTCGATGCTATCCACCACCTCCTGAACCAGCTGTCCTACCACAACCTGATCCAGCATGTTCGGTAGTGAAATCCCTGCCACCTCTTTCAACGCCTCTTTACACCTTTCAGTGTATTCTTTTCCAAGGAAATTCGGGAGAGCCTCGCGCATCTCAGCCTCGAACTTGTTGAACCTCTCGTGTAGCCTCGCAGCATAGTGCATCTCCTCGTCACTCTGGAACGAACCATACCTGCCGCTAATGACGCCACTCATCAGGTCACGTCGCTGCTGAATTGCAGAAGAAATCACGCCCAGAGCTGCAGCACTGGACGTGGCTGCAAGCGGGATTGTCTGCAATTCAGATTCCTTTGCAGCGAGCGCCTTCTGGATGGCTTGTCTGATCCTCGGGATGCTATCGGCCACCCTCTTGGCCTGAATCTCCGTCAGGCGTTCAGCCAAGGCGGGAATTCCAAGGGAGTGTGACTCAATCTGGCTCAACTCCGGATGGGTGTTAAAGAAAACCGCTTCCGCTCGCCTTGCATCGTCATGAGTAGCGTCCGCATCAGTCTTGTTCCGGACACACACGTATCCAAGCCCGATCCGCACGGAATTCGACTGAATCTTCTCGTAGAGCCCATCAGGAGCGCGGTCGACCTTGGTGACGACAGCCAGGGTGCGATCGCCATCAGGGTCCACCTCTTGCGACATGACGATAGACTCGCACGTGGAGAAATCCACCTCGGCTGCCAGCACGTTCAGAATCACGCTCTCCTTCGGAGTGATGTAATTCATTATCATCGCCTTCACCTGGTTATAAATGTCCTTCGGTTGATCTTCGATAGGAACGCGTGTGATTCCCGGCAGATCTACCAGGGTTAGGTCAGGCAAATCCGGTCGTCTCACTTCCAGGGTGATCGGGCAATTCATAACGCCCTTCCGGCTGCCAGCTAAGGTTACCGTCGCTTCGGAAATCTCCTTCTCGATCATCGCTTCGTCAGGCAAAACCTTGGACACTTTACCAGAAATAGGGGTGTATTCGATCGTAATCTCATCCTGACCGTCGACGCATGATTGCAACCTCAGGATCAACGGCACTCGGGTAACGATCCCCTTGCCTCGCGGCAGGTTGATTCCGGACAAGTTTTCCAGCACGGACGACTTGCCGCTGGATTGGTCGCCGACGACGACGATCGTCGGCAGCTCGATGCCTTCTTCCTTGAGACCTAGGACTCGAAGCTTGTCGATCGCATCGAGCATCGGACGGACATTTTCGTTGAAGGAGGAAATGAGGGGAGCCATGGCAGGGAGAGAAGGGATCAGCTGAGAAGCCTTGGAGGTAGGAAGCAGAGACGCAACCAGAGAGCTTAGCATGCTTTGCAGTGTTACTTTCTTGATCCAACCTTTCTTATTGGCAGAAAATGGCCCGTCATATCCATAAATGGGCCCCTAATCCGAGTCGCGTCGCGCGCTCGCAGCGCTACTCACGTGGAGCCAACGTCACAAGCTATTCAAGGTCGCGGGACCATTCAGATCTCAAAATCACGGAGCACAAGTTTGAATCTCCCGCAACTATTGGTGGTGATGACTACATGACGATTGTCGAGAGACACTCTACGCACTAACAGTGCAACCATTGTGTAAAATGACGTGCAGAGAAGAACCCTGCGGCGCAAAACGAGAGATGTATCCTCTGCAGCCCTGTTTCCGGCATCAGATCGTGCTGAACGTCGTGTTGTGTCCTGTGCGGTTTGGCTTGCAAAGCCATGGCTCCCATCTCATTGCTACCGTCTCAGCGATTACTTCCGCCACAACCATTTGCTTCTGTCATACGGAGCATCTGCGAAAACTGCGTCCTGGTTGTGGGTGGGATGGATTGAACATATCTTCAATACAGTGCAATGCAACTGCATCAACTTCTGGAACAATCAGTTTATCAATCTAATCGCCTAGACAGAACAAGGAAAGGAAATAACAAAAAACCCATACAGATTCTGCTGGCCATAAACAGCAGAAGCCCAGTATTATAAGATGAATCACAGGGGGTCCTTGTGACTTAGGCAAGAGGAGAATAATATATATGATAACCCAATACTGTATATGTTATATAATGCCATACATAATATGTTATTCGTCAATGTCATTTTTGAATTGATCATAATTTACGGATAATGTAATAGATTTTATGTTTGAATAGATGTAATCATAATCCCTGGCGTTTGATTTGCATGCGGAAAACTAATGGTTATGTTTTTTTTTTCCAGATTTTGTTCTCTGCTTTGGAGGTTGGGTGTTTTGTTGCGTCACATTGTATCGAACCTTGGGGATCGTTCCATAGTTGCACACAGAAGTTCTCCGCAAACGCTCCTAGGTAGTGACGCAAGCCATGGCTGCTGCACAAGCGAAACGCTACAGAATGCCGAACACAGTACCGGTATGAGGGGACAGCTTCAGGTTGCCCAACTCTTAATGCTGGAACGGGTATACAAGAAAACGTACGCCATGTTTCGCGGCGCGTTGTTTCGTTTATGCACGTTAGATTCCACTGGCCACACTGCTGACAGTTGCAGCGAATTCTCTTCACCACCCTCAAGAATTCGTCACCGCGAATGGCTGCGGCAGCCTCTCTTCTGTGAGAAACCCGTGGGCTTTACATCTTGATGACTCTGTCGTGAGCAGTGCTGCGAGTACACTGACGTGACATGTGGGCGAGTAGCCGTCCTTGGCTGGTAGGATGGGCCGTCTGCTGCCGAATAAGAAGGCCTAGCTCCGAGGTACTATCATTGTGAATCGCGCTCCGCTCTCTAGTCCCTGGTCGCTATCTCAGAACCTGCTCGCCTCGCCATGGTTCCTCTCGCGTGCTCCTCTAACGAGAATGTCCATCTTATGCTCAGTGCGATTCGAGTTCTAGGTTTGAAGGAAGAAGGGATCGAGCTCCCGATGGTCGTCGTGATCGGTGATCAATCCAGCGGCAAGACTTCCGTCTTGGAGAGCCTCTCCGGCATCAGCCTGCCGCGAGGCAAGGTGTCCGTCGCTCGAGTGCCATTAATCCTGCAGCTCCAGTCATGCGCGAACGGACAGGATTTGATAAAAATTGAGTACACCCCTTCTTCTGGTAAGGTGTCTAAAGTCTTATCTGATAAGGGGATGATAGAGCAGGAAATTTCAGAGGCGATGGTGGCCTTAGCTGGGAACCAGAAAGGCGTATTAAGTTCCCCAATCACCCTGCAAGTGCAGCGACCCGGCTTGCCTGACCTAACACTCTTAAATCTCCCGGGAATCACGCGCGTTCCTGTTGAAGATCAGCCGAAGGATATATACAGTCAGGTCAAGGCGATGATCATGCACTACATCACTCCGAAAGAGAGCGTCATTCTCAATGTCCTAGCAGCCGAGGTGGATTTCTCGACGTGCGAGTCCATCGTGATGTCGCAGGAGGTGGACCCTGACGGCGATCGCACCCTCGCTGTCGTCACCAAGGTCGACCGCGCTCCTGACGGGCTCTACGAGAAGATTCAAGGAAATTCCGTGCGGATCAAGCTTGGTTATGTGTGTGTCAGGAATAAGACTGACGCGGATGCTTCTTATGAGGATGCAAGGAAGGCAGAAGCCGCCTTCTTTGATAACCATCCGGAATTGAGCCGGATTGGGTTAAGCTCCCGCGGAGTTCCGGCTCTGACTAAACACTTGATGGAGACTCAAGCCAAGAGGGTAGCCGACAAGGTCCCACAGACGAGAAAGGCCATCCAGAAAGCACTTGTTGCGAAGAGGCGTGATGTAATGAGTGGCATCATCAGCGGGAAGAATGTCATCGCCAGTGAGAAGCAAGGCCACCCTCCAAGTAATGAGACGGTGCTCTACTCTGCTAGGCTTCGCGAAATGTTCAACAAATTCGAGGCTCAGATGCGGGCTGCTCTCCCGGACTTCCTTGGTGCAGACTACACTGAAAGGTGCAAGAAAGCGTTGACAGAATTGCCCGAAATTCTTCTTCCAAACATGTTGGATCAGGCTGTGGCGAGGAAGCTGGTTCAGGAGGTGGTGGAAAGAACTGAAGCGCCGTGCCTGCAGCTGGTGAATGACTGTTTCGCCTTCGCAACCGAAGTGCAACAAGTTGTGGTGGCACATGTCACTGGGATATATCCCGGGCTGAACGACGTCGCTCAGCTTCATTCAGGCCTGCACGCTCTGAGGGAGGCCAAGGATTCTGCAATCCGCTTTGTTCGGCTCTTGTTAAGAAACGAGAAGAAGTTGGTCTTCACACTTAACCACAGCTACATGGATACGGTCTCACAAATCCAAGCACAGATTGCCGATTACAAGAAAGCTAAGCCAGATATTGCGAATGGAAGCTCCCCTCCTGTACCCTCTGTTGAAGAATTCGCTTCCAGCACTGCTTCACTCGCTAACCTGATCAGCAATGAGGACCAAGCAGCGAGGGGCCTGCAGATCAACATGTTTTCATATGCCAAGGTGATGCACAAGCGGCTGTGTGACGTGATCTCTATGGAGATTCGGGTGACCCTTGAGACTGCTTTGTTGGATGGCACTGATGTTGCTGTGTGGCGGGGAATCCATGGTGGCGATATTGCCATGATTCTAGCTCGGATGGAGGCTGATCAGCAACGCAGGGCTCGACTGGAAGAGACGAACAGGTTGAAGGCTGCTAGCTAGCTGAGTCTGAGAGTTCATTGTTTGTGTGCCATGATATTGGAGTGCGATCTGAAGCTTGTGAACTTTCATTCCTGTGATAGATTTGGAATTTGGCGAAATGATGCTTTTGTTTTTTTTCCCTTCGTCATTATTTGGAACTCCTGTGTGAATAGTGACGTTCAGCATTGTAGTAGCTTGTGACAGGAACTTGGAATGCTAATCACGTTGCAACTAGTGTGTGGATCAGATTCTTCAGCTTGTACAGTGTGCCGATCACTTCAGTGCCCTTCATGCCCAAGTCCCCCCTGCCGGTTCTCCATGCCAGTCCCCCTAGCATGTTTCCCCCTCCCAGTTCTCCCTGTAAATTTCCTAAACGAATCTGCCTTGTCAGTTCCCATTCCCAAATCCCCCATGTCAGTTCCCCCCCCCCCCCCCCCCCTGCCAAACCCCCTGTCAGCTTCCCTTGCCTAATCCCCACTGCCAGTTCCACCTGCCAGTTCCCCATGCCAGTTCCCCATGCCAGTTCCCCATGCCAGTTCCCCATGCCAGTTCCCCCTGCCAGTTCCCCCTGCCATTTCCCCCTGCCAGTTCCCCATGCCAGTTCCCCATGCCAGTTCCCCATGCCAGTTCCCCATGCCAGTTCCCCCTGCCAGTTCTCCCTGCCATTTCCCCATGCCAGTTCCCCTTGCCAGTTCCCCATGCCAGTTCCCCATGCCAGTTCCCCTTGCCCGTTCCCCATGCCAGTTCCCCATGCCAGTTCCCCATGCCAGTTCCCCCTGCCAGTTCCCCATGCCAGTTCCCCATGCCAGTTCCCCATGCCAGTTCCCCATGCCAGTTCCCCATGCCAGTTCCCCATGCCAGTTCCCCCTGCCAGTTCCCCCTGCCATTTCCCCCTGCCAGTTCCCCATGCCAGTTCCTTATGCCAGTTCCCGATGCCAGTTCCCCATGCCAGTTCCCCCTGCCAGTTCCCCCTGCCATTTCCCCATGCCAGTTCCCCTTGCCAGTTCCCCACGCCAGTTCCCCCTGCCAGTTCCCCATGCCAGTTCCCCCTGCCAGTTCCCCTTGCCATTTCCCCCTGCCAGTTCCCCATGCCAGTTCCTTATGCCAGTTCCCCATGCCAGTTCCCCCTGCCAGTTCCCCCTGCCATTTCCCCATGCCAGTTCCACTTGCCAGTTCCCCATGCCAGTTCCCCATGCCAGTTCCCCTTGCCAGTTCCCCATGCCAGTTCCCCATGCCAGTTCCCCATGCCAGTTCCCCCTGCCAGATCCCCTTGCCAGTTCCCCCTGCCATTCCCCCATGCCAATTCTCACTGCCCACATCTCCCTGCAGTTGATTCATTTACTTCTGCTGTATTCCTGTGTTCACTACTCACTTCCTTCCCATCACAAGCTTTTTTCGTTTCGCTACTACTGTGTCACAGTCGCTCTACTCTGCCTCCTCTTAACCCCCCTTTAACCTCCCCACCCTCCGCCCCTCTTCCCACGCTCCCCCCTCCCCCAACCCCAATCTGTCTCGCCGTATGCTGGAGGTGGCTCTTCTTTTTGTGCTGGTACCACGTCCATTTGTGGGTTCGTGGATGTGAGTAAGCGTATGTGATTCGAATGGGTCTGCCATTTCCCTAAGCACTCTACCCTCCACTCCACTTGTCGATGGACACTATCCTTTCCCCCGCCAGCTTCCCCCACCTTCCTCCCCACCTCCTCTTCAACCCGATGTCAATTCCAAGTTTGTGGAGACGAAAAAACTTCTGCGGCGCACCCCCCCAACCCCCTCCCCCCAGCCTCTGCTCCAAGTCCGCCGCGTGTATGCTGCAAGAGGTGCTCAGCCTGCCCCTAATGAGGTTGCTGGTGGTGCAGAGTATTTTTGAGAATTCTCAAAAATACTCAGCCTACCCCTAATGAGGTTGCTGTTGGTGGTTGATGCGAGTCGGTGGAGACCTGCAAGGATGAGTAGCGCCAAGGATGAGTACCATATCGATGTGGCACTGGGAGGGCGGCAGTGCGTGTGTTTGTATCACTTTTGAAGTTTTTTTGGAGTGATACAAAACTGCCAGGATGAGTTTTGAGGTTCATATGGGTGTGGTATAGGTTGGGTGGGTGTCAGTGACTGTGGCCCGCGAGGAAGTTATAAGGCCATTCTGGCTGTAGCGCCATCAGTGATGCTGTTTGCAGGTTGCCACCCCTTCCTCTCAGGTTATCGCCCCTTCGTCTCAGGTTACCATTTGCAGGCTTCTCCCCCCTCCCAGATTGCCGTCCATTTCCCCCCCTCCCAGATTGCCGTCCATTTCCCCCCCCCCAGATTGCCGTCCATTTCCCCCCCTCCCAGATTGCCGTCCATTTCCCCCCCTCCCAGATTGCCGTCCTTCACTAGTTCCTCTCAAAGTGCTGCCCTTATTACTCAGATTACCGCCCCTTCCTCTCAGATTGTGTCGCCTTCCTTTCAAATTGCCGCCCCTTCCTCTCCCTATCTCAGATTGCCACACGTTCTTCTCGAATTGCCACCCATGATCGAATTGCCACCTTTACAAGGGCAATCGTGTTGCTGCTCTGTAAGGAGCTCCCTGTGCCGACTGAGCCCCTGTGCTGCACGCAGGCAAGATGGAATCACTCCTCTCCCGTTGGATTAATCAGCAATTTGATTCAATATCCGATATGCCCAGAGTCAGTGCTTGTGGTCATCATCATAATCGATTATCCATTTCTGTGGAGTGGATAGGTGGATATGTATATATTTATAATTGCACAAGTGCTTCACTACACAGTAAAAGAGTATTCTGTTCAGCGTTCATACAAGCTTCATCAGCTGCACAGCTAACATACACTTGCGATGCTCTGTTGTACAATTTAGATGCGCGCAATCTCAAACGCGGTTCAGCAAGGTGCAGCACAAGTCTGGGAAGGGGCTGGTTTGATACGGGGCCGTAGGGAGGAAAACACCCTAAGCCGTAGAAGCGCTTTGTTGAAGCGAGTCCCATAGTGCTTGGCCCTCCTTGAATCCTGAATTCGAATCAGTCAGGAGAGACAGGTACAAGACGGAATATGTCACCCCCATGTCGGGCTATACAAGGCTGTGTGCAATCCTCAGGTCAAATCAAGTCAGCAAACGTTTAGTCATTGGTAGTCAGCTCACGTCAACAAAAAAAAAAGCTCCAGACAACTCAGGTCAACTCTCGTCACAGCTGGTCTCACACACTCACCAGCAATGGCTGGCAGGGGCGTGACATACACACCAGTCATGATGACCCAGTGCACGTGTCGCCATAAACCAAATCATTTTAAGTCAGCTCAAGTCAGCAGGCCACCAGTCCTCACGGCACTCACCAGCAGTGGAGGCGAGGGAAGCGGCATGCACGCCATTCATGACACAGTGCACCGTGCATGACTCGCCATAGTCCAAGTCTGGCAGCAGCTTTGGCGTCAGCAGGAAGCACCTGCAGGAGGGGATGTTGGTGCACGGGGGAGGACGAGAGGAGGAGAGTTGCACATGGGAACACACAGGTGCATATGTGACAGAAAAATCTGGCAGGCACAAACATAGGTGCTCATTGGGGCAGCCCATGGCATGAGGATGCCATGCTCGACATACATGGCGTAACCTGTGCTAAACCTGTCTTTGAGACGCCATGGCTCAGTGATGCCTTGCTACACAGACAGAGCACTCACTGCGGGGTGTGGTCGTGGGTGGCGGCGCGCACGAGCTGTTGGAACATGTTGCGCTCGTTGGTGGGATCCATGCCCTGGTTGATCTCATCGTGTGCCCTCACAACAGCATGCAGACCACTCACTGCGGCGTGTGGTCGTGGGTGGCGGCGCGCACGAGCTGCTGGAACATGTTGCGCTCGTTGGTGGGATCCATGCCCTGGTTGATCTCATCCACCACTCGGAACGGACACCGCGTTAAGTCCTGCAGCGACACCAGGTACAGGATCGTTGACACTGAGCGCTCCTGGGAAGGGGCAGAAGGGTAGGGGGAAAGGGGATGCAGCGTGGGATCAGATCAGTCAGAGCATTGAGTCCTGCAGCGACACCAGGTACAGGATCGTTGACACCGAGCGCTCCTGGGAAGGGGGGAAAGGAGGGAAGGGCATGGAAGGGGTAAAGGAAAGAGAGGACGCAGAGTCCGCTTGTGGTTGCAAGTCCTGCAGCGACACCAGGTACATGATCGTTGACACAGAGCGCTCCTGGTATGGGGCAAGGGAAGGGGGTTCACAGGCGGAAGAGGGTGGAACATGCAGAGCGTGATTCCATGCCCTGTGGCGAATGGATTGAACATTGTGTACGTTAGGTAGTGCAGATGGAGCAGGTAAAACGTAGTGGACGGAGGGGAAGGGAGGGGGGGGATGAAAGCAAGCAAGTAATACAAGCAGCAACACAAGGAGCAAAGTCAAGGCAACAACAACAGGTGACGCACGCAACAGATGGACGGCACAGCAAGGACCCCTGCCAACACAGAAAGAACCCCTTTGAACAGCAACGTACCCCTCCCGACTGGTGGTGTGCACTCAGGTCCTGCAGCTCTGCACTCTCTCTGATGCATGCATGGAGCACCACACAAAGAGCACAAAGCAGGGGTTGACAAGAGCAGAAGATGGGGCAGGAGGGTAGGGGGAGAAAGGGAGGCCATGAGAAGAAACACAAGGCAATGTCGAGAGAGTTGTTGGTGGAACTGGATGAAACGCTTTTTGAGTCGACTCCAAACACGGAGCACAAGCGCTGCTATTCTCAGATGTGTACCTTCGCATGATGCATGTCTGTAGGAAAGGAACTCAAGGGAATAGGACAAGTGCGTGGGATGGCATGGGATGGGATGACACAAAAGCTGATGAGGGCTTTGACGATAAGGCAGTAAAGAAAGGGCATTCAAGGGGAGTGAAATGAACCACACTTGCAATTCCAATGGTGCATTATCATCCACCTGAGACTGAACCACCTGCGGCTGAATCACCTAAAACTGAACCACCTGAACAGTATCACCTGAGACTGAACCACCTGAAAAGAATCACCTGAAAATGAACCACCTAAAAAGAATCACCTGGAGCTGAACCACCTGAGTCACCTGAAGCTCTGAATCACCTGAACTTGACTCGGATTCGAATGCCATACGATCGAAAGTCAGCCCCCCTTTCATCTGAATGCAGACAAGGACGGGGAGGGGAGGTGCCAAAATGGGGGGTGGCGCGATGATGGGACGGGAGATGGTGCGGTGGAAATGCACTTGGCAACTTGTTGGCTGAAAGAGAGTGAGACTTTTGAAATCTAGTGATTCGTTCGCATGCCCTTACCAGCCGCCATCTCCCCACCCAGAACCACTGCCTTTGAGATGAGTCAAAGGTGCTCCTTTATTAAGAGCTCCATCTAGGGCCATGCCGTCAATAAGAATTCATGCCCTTTTCTACCATGCATTATTGCAATGCATTCCCTCCATCCAAGCCAACCTTCATACACTTATTTCCCCTCCACACTCACACGTTCTCATACTCCCTTCCCCTTCACCCGCTTCCAATCCACTTCCCACCCTCTCCCAATCCTCTTCCCACCCTCTCCCAATCCTCTTCCCACCCTCTCCCAATCCTCTTCCCACCCTCTCCCACTCCTCTTCCCACCCTTTCTCCCCTCCACTCTTCTCTCACTCACCTAGAGCCACCTCCCCAGCAACGGCCATTTCCTGGAAGTTTCTGGAGAAGGCCTCATTGATGCGAACGATCAGCGAGCGGAGACGCGGCAGCCAGAGACCCTGGGGATGGGATGGTGCCACGTGGCAGATGGGGATGGGATGGTGCCACGTGGCAGATGGTGGTGAGATGGTGCCACGTGGCAGATGGCAATGGGATGATGAGAATGCGGACGGATTGGGAGGATGATGTGCAGCAATTACGAAATGACACGTGGATAGAAGAAGAGGTTAAAGCACGCCCGTTCTCATTGCATGTCACATTCACCACTCTTAACACCCCCACACTCCTCACCCCCCCTGGTCTCACCTGTCCCACTCTCTTGCAAATTGGTTGTGCGACACCCTATGCATCACAATACCCCACCAATACAGTCACACTCGCTATAACCCTGTTGCAGTCATCTGCACTACCCCAACTTCCGCCTCCAGCTCCTCCAACTGCTACAGCAGCACACGCTGTCGATTTCTGAGTCGCCTCAAAACCCTACTAAAGTAAAGTGCATGGACTTCCCCCGTTACAGTCGCACCCACCCACCACTCTCACTCACTTGCACCCACACCAGCTGCTACAGTAGCACCACTATAGTCACACCCAGCCCCCCACCCCGTTATAGTCACCTGCACGCGCTCCACTTCTGCCCGGAGCTCCTCCAGCTGCTGCCTCTCACTCTCCACCTTGCCCTGCATAGTGCGGATCTGCATGCAAGCACATGCAGCAAGGGGAGGGTTCGGGGGGATGGAGGGGAACGCGGGAAATGAATGCGGTAAATCATGCTGCAGCCCCCCACCCCATTTCCTGCTACACGGGAAATGAAATGCTAAAGTAGAATGGGGGCAATGAGGGATGCAATGTGGGGCCTCACTCATCACCTTGCCCGCACCCTGCGGGTCTGGATGGAGGCGCGGGGTTTGGTCGGGAGGAAGTGGAAACGAGACAACTTTTGAGATGCCTCAAAATTCGTGAGGAAGTGGGAGCGAGGCAAGGCCGAGAAGTGGCAGCAGGAGGTGAGAGTGAAGAGCCTTGCAGGTGCTGCCTGGCCCAACAACAGGATGTGTTTCACCGACTGCAACAAACTTGGAAAGAAGATGTTCCCCTCCCTCACTTGCCCCAGTCGCTCCCGGTGGTACTCGTGGAAAACACGCGGTGTTGTGTTGTTGTGCTTTTCTTTCTATCTCTCACCTCCTCGTTCTCGTGCCTGCTCTATCTCCCATTCACCCGCTCTCTCCCACCTCCTTGCTCACGGTCTCTCACCTGCTCCTGCCGTTCTTGGAACTGCTGCAGCACGTGGGGGTTGGGGCACACGATGCGGTTCGCCTGCCCTATGCGCTCCTCCACCTCCTCCTGTAGCTCCTCCAGCGAGTCGGGCAGCTGAAGGGAAGGTGAGGGAAGTCGAGGAGGTCTGAGGGCATCAGAAGTCAAGGAGGTCTGAGGGCATCAGAAGTCAAGGAGGTCTGAGGGCATCAGAAGTCAAGGAGGTCTGAGGGCATCAGAAGTCAAGGAGGTCTGAGGGCATCAGAAGTCAAGGAGGTCTGAGGGCATCAGAAGTCAAGGAGGTCTGAGGGCATCAGAAGTCAAGGAGGTCTGAGGGCATCAGAAGTCAAGGAGGTCTGAGGGCATCAGAAGTCAAGGAGGTCTGAGGGCATCAGAAGTCAAGGAGGTCTGAGGGCATCAGAAGTCAAGGAGGTCTGAGGGCATCAGAAGTCAAGGAGGTCTGAGGGCATCAGAAGTCAAGGAGGTCTGAGGGCATCAGAAGTCAAGGAGGTCTGAGGGCATCAGAAGTCAAGGAGGTCTGAGGGCATCAGAAGTCAAGGAGGTCTGAGGGCATCAGAAGTCAAGGAGGTCTGAGGGCATCAGAAGTCAAGGAGGTCTGAGGGCATCAGAAGTCAAGGAGGTCTGAGGGCATCAGAAGTCAAGGAGGTCTGAGGGCATCAGAAGTCAAGGAGGTCTGAGGGCATCAGAAGTCAAGGAGGTCTGAGGGCATCAGAAGTCAAGGAGGTCTGAGGGCATCAGAAGTCAAGGAGGTCTGAGGGCATCAGAAGTCAAGGAGGTCTGAGGGCATCAGAAGTCAAGGAGGTCTGAGGGCATCAGAAGTCAAGGAGGTCTGAGGGCATCAGAAGTCAAGGAGGTCTGAGGGCATCAGAAGTCAAGGAGGTCTGAGGGCATCAGAAGTCAAGGAGGTCTGAGGGCATCAGAAGTCGGAGGTCTGAGGGCATCAGAAGTCAACCCAATGTGCTCCACTAGGTGACTGGGAATAGTCATTCAAATCCAATATACCACTATAACCACCAATGTGCTCACCCATCCTCACCGTTTCAAACAGCCTCTTGGCCTCCTCATCCCTCCTCAGGTCCACCACCCCCCTCGCCACCTCCAGTGCCGCTGCTGCCTCCTGCTTCGCTGCCGCCACCCGATCCTCCTCTGTGCGGGCAGGCAGTGGGAGGGGGAGGGGTAAGGGAAGGGCAGGGGGAATGAGGGAGAAGGGCGGGACTGGGGAAGGGCGGGACTGGGGAAGGGCGGGACTGGGGAAGGGCGGGACTGGGGAAGGGCGGGACTGGGGAAGGGCGGGACTGGGGAAGGGCGGGACTGGGGAAATCAGGAGGGTTTCAAGTGCCGCCTCCTGCTTCGCTGCCGCCACCCGATCCTCCTCTGTGCGGGCGGGTAGCAGGAGGGGGAGGAACGGAAGGAGAAGGGGCAGGAATGAGGGAGAGGCGTGCGAATCAGGTGGGTTCCATCCATAGTGCCCCCTCCTGCGTTGCTTGCTACCCCTGAGCGACCCCCCTATGGCCCGTGGGGCATGCTTGTGGGAGAGCGATGACCAAGGGACACAACGTTTTCTGTACATTTACAGAACGACTGTGGGAGAGCGTTGACCAAGGTGCAAGGGCAGAAAGGTTCAGAGGAAGTACCTTCTACCTATAATCTAACGAACGAATGAACAATGCAACCATGCATGCACAAACAAACCCCACTTGCTCCCTATCCCACCTCTATAATCCCTACTACTCGCCTCGCCTTTAGTCCTTCTCACTTCTCATCCCCACTCAGCCCCTCTCACCTCCGCTCATCACCAGTCATCCCACCCCTCCCCACCCCTGCTCACCACGCATCACCTCCTGCTGCAGCTTCAGCAGCTGCTCGTCCAGATCCTTGAACTCGCCCTCGCGCTCGCGCACCTGGTGTTGAGGGGAGACATGATACGATATGATACGATGCATCGCAGTGGGCATGTGGTGCATGGGTGTGTGCTCATTTTTTGGGTTAGTAGATACCTATAATAATCTTGGGTGCATGGGCACGGTGCCTTGGTGAGCAGCATTTGATGTTCGCACATGTGAAGAATTCAACGCACATGTGGAGAATTCAACGCATGGCACTTCTTATCATAAGTGAAGCTCACAGAAAGTTACCAGGAGGAAGAGCGTGTGGGAAGTTACCAGGAAGGAGAGCTCGTCCACAGCAAGTTGCAGGGAGGAGAGGCGCCGCTTCTCCTGCCACAGGCTCAGCAGGTGCTTCTGGGGGAGGTGCACACACGGAGGGAGAGGGTGGGGGAGCGGAGGGGAGGGATGAGTTGGGGAGGAAGAGGGGAGCGGGTTGGGGATGGAAGCACACAGAAGCCCCATATTGGAAGCAAGGCTCTGTTGTTTCTTTAGCACCTATGATAACACCGGTGCACCGTCTTGAAGCACTAGTTCTCGTACGGGAAACGGGAGCGAGGACAAAGAAAAGGGGCAGAAGCGAAGAAAAAGAAGGAGACAGTCTGTATGGGAGCACGCTGTGGCACTCACTCACACGTGCGTTACTGGCATTCTGCAGCTCCCTCTCTCCATGTTGTTTACTGATGTCCGCACACACCCTCAACTCCGTGATTCCGTTCACCCTACAATGCACATGTATTGGCGGCACTCCTATCCGTGCACAAATGGGAGGGAGAGCGGTGGTCAATCTCCGCTCCCTCTTCCCCCATTGTGCTCTCAACCTTATATGCCCGTGTAACGGAGGCACTCACGTGTGTCTTCTTGGCATTGCTCAGCTGTCGCTCCATGCTGAGAGCAATGTCTGCCCGCGCCCTCCTCTCAACCTCCTCCATGTCCTCGCTCTGCCGGGATTGTGCCACCAGCTCGCGCTTCTGCACTGCCTTGGGGAGACGGACGGGAGGATAGGTAGGCGACACATGGGAAGTGGGCTGAGAAGAGTCTCGCCTGGAAGGTGCAAGGGACGCCCTGCCTCCGCCATCTCTCCCTCTGAGCCTTGGAGTGCGGAGACGCGTGCGGAACAGGTTGAGGAGCAGGTGGTGGGCGGGGGGAGAGGTGGAGGAGGAGGAGGAGGAGGAAAAGGAGGAGGATGAGGAGGAGGAGGAGGAAAAGGAGGAGGAGGAGGAGGAGGAGGAGGAGGAGGAGGAGGAGGAGGAGGAGGAGGAGGAGGAGGAGGAGGAGGAGGAGGAGGAGGAGGAAAAGGAGGAGGAGGAGGAGGAGGAGGAGGAGGAGGAGGAGGAGGAGGAGGAGGAGGAGGAGGAGGAGGAGGAGGAGGAGGAGGAGGAGGAGGAGGAAAAGGAGGAGGAGGAGGAGGAGGAGGAGGAGGAGGAGGAGGAGGAGGAGGAGGAGGAGGAGGAGGAGGAGGAGGAGGAGGAGGAGGAGGAGGAGGAGGAGGAGGAGGAGGAGGAGGAGGAAAAGGAGGAGGAGGAGCAGGAGGAGGAGGAGGAGGAGGAGGAGGAGGAGGAGGAGGAGGAGGAGGAGGAGGAGGAGGAGGAGGAGGAGGAGGAGGAGGAGGAGGAGGAGGAGGAGGAGGAGGAGGAGGAGGAGGAGGAGGAGGAGGAGGAAAAGGAGGAGGAGGAGGAGGAGCAGGAGGAGGAGGAGGAGGAGGAGGAGGAGGAGGAGGAGGAGGAGGAGGAGGAGGAGGAGGAGGAGGAGGAGGAGGAGGAGGAGGAGGAGGAGGAGGAGGAGGAGGAGGAGGAGGAGAGTGAAAAAAGGTCTATCAGACGATTGACGAGGATCAGAGAGACTCACCAATGCGGTTCTGCAGTCGGTGACTTTTGAGTTGACTCAAAAGTCGCCTTCTTTTAGTCGACTCAAGGTTCACCTTTTTTGTGACGACTCAAGGGTGAGAGAGACTCACCAATGCGGTTCTGCAGGTCGGTGCGCTGCTTCTTCTGCCCATGGTACTCGTTCACAATCTCATCCTGTAGAGATCAGTGCGGTACAGAGGAGTGTGAACTGGTTAATAAAGGTATTGACGGGGCAGAATGCACGCTGGCATGTGGCACACACGGCATGGAGATACGAGATTTAAGGTAGGCTTACCCTCCTTCCAACAGCAACATGCCTCCCTCTCTCCATCCCTCAAAATCAAACTCCCTCTCGCCCACTGGACACACACACACACACACATACATCGCTCACCCCACCCCACCCCCACCTTATCCCACCTCATTACACCTCACCCCCCCCGCACCCCACCTCACCCGCTGTCTCTCGCACTGTGCGGCCTCGGCCTCAAGAGTGCGCTGCTCCCGCCGCACGGCGTTCGCCCTCTCCTGCAGCGCCATGCCCCGCGCATCAATGCGCTCCCTCTCTGCCTGCAGCTGCTCCTCCTCCTGCAACCCCGACTCTGGCGCCCATCGCCAGCATGCACATTGACACACACAGACACACAGAAGTAGCAGTTGCGGCAGAGATATAAACACACAGGAGGAAACACATGCAAAGAGGAAGACAAGTGCAAATAACAAGCACACAAGAATATCCAAGCACACAAAAGGCAGGCAAACGCAGAAACAAACAAGCGTCGTTAAAAACACAATGAATCACTCACATGGAGACATGACTGCAAACGAGTGGGAGGCAATGCATAACATCTCAAGAGAAACAGCTCTTATTATCAGGTTTCAACCTCAGCCGCACTGACAGTGCCAAGCCAGGGAAAGGATTGGAGGGATCCATTCAGAGTTGAAGAGGGAGAAGTGCAGGCAGCTGGAGCTGGAGAGACAATGACCGACACTCGTGACATCTGCACACTCGCCTTGAGAAACCATAGAAAATGAGTTACCAGTAACGCAAGCTTTGCATGAGAGTGCAATGCAGCTGCAGGCGCCTTGGTGGAAGAAGCAGGGGGGAGGGGCTCACCTTGGGAGAAGAAGCGGGAGGGGCGCACGCCGTGTGCATTGATGGAGAGGGAGCCGTTGTAGCGCGAGCGCAGCCAGCGGTAGTGGCTCTCCGGCGTCCACAGGTCCTCCACTCCCCTCTCCTGTATCGCCTCCGCGTTCCGATCCGCCTCTGCCGATCCAACGAACTGCAAGGCATGGCGTGGTGTGGTGTGGTGTGGTGTGGTGTGGTGTGGCGTGGCGTGGCGCGGCGTGGTGTGGTGTGGCGTGGTGTGGTGTGGTGTGGCGCGGTGTGGTGTGGCGTGGTGTGGTGTGGTGTGGTGTGGTGTGGCGTAGCGTAGCGTGGTGTGGTGTGGTGTGGCGTGGCGTAGTGTGGTGTGGTGTGGTGTGGTGTGGTGTGATGTGGTATGGCGTGGCGTGGTGTGGTGTGGTGTGGTGTCATGTGGTGTGGTGTGGTGTGGTGTGGTGTGGTGTGGTGTGGTGTGGTGTGATGCGGTGTGGTGTGGTGTGGTGTGGTGTGGTGTGGCGTGGTGTGGTGTCACGTCGTGTGGTGTGGTGTCATGTGGTGTGGTGTGGCGTGGCGTGGCGTGGTGTGGTGTGGTGTGGTGTGGTGTGGCGTGGCGTGGTGTGGTGTGGTGTGGCGTGGTGTGGTGTCACGTGGTGTGGTGTCACGTGGTGTGGTGTCACGAGGGAGAGTGATGGGCAAAAATTTGATGAAGAGGCTGTCAGTTATCCACACTCTTTTGAGGCGCCTCAAAAGATGAAGAGGCTGTCAGTTATCCACACTCTTTTGAGGCGCCTCAAAAGATGAAGAGGCTGTCAGTTATCCACACTCTTTTGAGGCGCCTCAAAAGATGAAGAGGCTGTCAGTTATACACACTCTTTTGAGACGCCTCAAAAGATGAAGAGGCTGTCAGTTATCCACACTCTTTTGAGGCGCCTCAAAAGATGAAGTGGCTGTCAGTTATCCACACTCTTTTGAGGCACCTCAAAAGATGAAGAGGCTGTCAGTTATCCACACTCTTTTGAGGCGCCTCAAAAGATGAAGAGGCTGTCAGTTATCCACACTCTTTTGAGGCGCCTCAAAAGATGAAGAGGCTGTCAGTTATCCACACTCTTTTGAGGCGCCTCAAAAGATGAAGAGGCTGTCAGTTATCCACACTCTTTTGAGGCGCCTCAAAAGATGAAGAGGCTGTCAGTTATCCACACTCTTTCCCGCCCGGCCTCTGTATTGCCTCCATGTGTTGATCGGCCTCCCATGCTCACACGCACTCACTCACACGCACACGGACGCACAAACGCATGCACGCACGCACGCACACACACTCACACACACACACACGCACGCACACACACTCACACACACACACACGCATGCACACACACACACACTCACACAAGCACGCACACATAGTCACACACACACACACACACACGCATGCACACACACTCACTCACACACATACACACACACACACACACACACACAGCCATCCACCCACCCACCCACCCACACACACATGGCTGCAGGCAGCACTCACCGAGCGGAAGAGCTGCGACTGCTGGTTGAGCACACTGCGCACCACTGGGGCCGCGTTGAACACCTCGTCCAATCGGTGCGTGACACCTAGGCGCTGCAGCTGTTGGGGGCGATGCGTGTGGGTGGGTGGGAGCAGTGAGGGCGAGAGAAGGAGAGAGGGAACCAAGGGAGAGAGGGTGGAAGAGGGAAAGTAGGAGGAAGTAAGAAGCCAGGAAAAAGGAGAAAGGGAAGGGGGGAGGAAGGAGAGCAGGTGGAAGAAGGAACGAGGGAAGAGGGACGAAGGGATCGACCTTATTGGGGCAGGGGAAGAAGAATGGGACCGGTGACCTCCTTGACCTGGGAGTGGATAGCCTAGAGTTTGCTTTCTCAGATATTTACACAGAGCGGAAGTCTACCGCTGTTTTTCCTTTGCTTTAAGCCTACTGCACGCACGCAGCTCACTGAGACATGTCTGAAGCTCAAGAGGGACGAAGAGAACGACCTTACTGAGGCAGGGGAAGAAGAATGGAGGAGTAAGTCTTGAGAAGGGGTCACATCAGGCGAGATTATTGCACCAAACAGTCGTTAGAACTGCATGCCGCCTCTCACAGCACATCACTCACATGTGCATCCACGGCCATGGCATGTGGCATCACTCACATGTGCATCCACCGCCATGGCATGTGGCATCACTCACATGTGCATCCACGGCCATGGCATGTGGCATCACTCACATGTGCATCCACCGCCATGGCATGTGGCATCACTCACATGTGCATCCACGGCCATGGCATGTGGCATCACTCACATGTGCATCCACCGCCACGGCATGTGGCATCACTCACACGTGCATCCACCACCATGGCATGTGGCATCACTCACATGTGCATCCACCGCCATGGCATGTGGCATCACTCACATGTGCATCCACCGCCATGGCATGTGGCATCACTCACATGTGCATCCACCGCCATGGCATGTGGCATCACTCACATGTGTATATCCACCGCCATGGCATGTGGCATCACTCACATGTGCATCCACCGCCATGGCATGTGGCATCACTCACATGTGCATCCACCGCCATGGCATGTGGCATCACTCACATGTGCATCCACCGCCATGGCATGTGGCATCACTCACATGTGTATCCACCGCCATGGCATGTGGCATCACTCACATGTGCATCCACCGCTGGCATGTGGCATCACTCACATGTGCATCCACGGCCATGGCATGTGGCATCACTCACATGTGCATCCACCGCCACGGCATGTGGCATCACTCACACGTGCATCCACCGCCATGGCATGTGGCATCACTCACATGTGCATCCACCGCCATGGCATGTGGCATCACTCACATGTGCATCCACCGCCATGGCATGTGGCATCACTCACATGTGCATCCACCGCCATGGCATGTGCAGGAGGACCCAGCTCCTCAGGGCGACTGCTCTCGTTGACCACCGCCAAACCGAGGGGCTTTAAGTGGCGCACCAGGAAATCCCGGTCCTCCGGTACTGTTGTCACAAAGGCCTGCCGTGCAGAGATGGGAGAGCGGGAGAGGGGGAGATCTGGAGAGCGGGGGCAGCAGGAGCGGTTAAGTGGCGCAACAGCAGGTTTCGATCCTCCTGTGCTGTTGTCACAAAGGCCTGCCCGGGGGAGAGGGTAATAGGAGAAGAGAAGAAGATGAGAATATGAGAATCCAATATGGAGAGAGGCGCAAAGAAACAGTGTGCTTCTGACCAACACCCATTATACCACATATTGCTTGCTTGCCTTCCACACCCACCCCGTTATTGAACACTTGAATAGCAGGCTTATCACAAGCAGCGTTCAAAGAGAGTGTGAGAGTCAGAAGTTGCTAACCTTCCACACCCACACCGGCACGTGCTGCTCTAGGCAGGCTGCATGCGCATCGGGGTCGATAACGTTCACCTGAGGGTGCAGGGAGGTGGAGGGGGGGAATGGAACAAAGAGGGGAAGAGAGGGCATGGGAGCATAGCATGGGGAGTGTGAAGGACCCTCAAGAAAGACTGCATGCGCATCGGGGTCGATAACGTTCACCTGAGGGTGCAGGGGGTTGGAAGGGAGAGGCAGAGGGGATAAGGGAGCAGAGGAGCAACGCACCGCACCTAACTGCCCTCAGAGCAGAGGAGAATTCTCAAAGGGAAACCTGCATCGCGTCTCAATCCCTAAGCGGAAACTGGTGCAGCCAAACGGAGTGCAAGAGCGCTTCTGATACACACTAGTTTCACACACAACACAAGATATTAATACTCATGCTTTCCGCTGTCTCAGGTGAAGCAGGAGCGCAAGCCGGTTTCTACAGACTCTATTCATTCAAACATATGTTGCAAGGGTCCCGTCTCAGCAAGACCAAATCTGTAACACCGCCCTTGTACGAGGACGAGGGGTGTAGAAAATTCATTCAAGGGAGGTAGGATTTTCAGGCGGAAGAAGGGAGAAGCGCTTGGAAAGTTCTGCTCCGAACAGACAGTCCATGGGAAGAAAAGAAACATGGGTATTCATGAGAGCGAGCGGAACACGAACTTCAGTATCATCATCTGTTGGATGGCCTACTATTCAGATACTGACTTGCTCTTCTACGGCATGGGTGAGACGGACGTCCAAGCATGATCAGAACATTAGAACTTCGCGAAGCGTACGCCGACTGGAGTCTAGAACGTTATCCACGACATTCATCTTTGCAGGATTGATAAGCCAGTTTCGCATCTTGGACTGCATTGTCGAATATACACTGTCTTTACGAATCGTTACGTGTTTGTTATCTCAATTCTACAGTTTCGGTTCCGTCATGAAGAAAACCAACGAGCGTCTAGCGACGGGAGTAGATTGGCAGACTGGCCTCTGCGAACGAGTCGGCCGGGCAATGCTGATTGGCTACACTGGTGTGGAGCCGGCCCCAGACGGAGTCCCTCCTGCAGGGTTCGCTGCTGGAGTAGCGTCTGCGCTCTCCACGTTCTGGGGAGCGTCAATTGGCACTCCAGCAGAAGGTTATAAAACAGGCGCCATAACAGTCGCGCGCGGAACTGCGACAACGAGGAGCTGTCGAAGCAAGCTGCAAAAGCTGCTCGATGCAGCATGGTTGCATTGCATCAAGTCGCAGACAACCGGTTCGTAAAGAAGGAATGGAACTCGGTGTTGGAGGGGAAAATTGTTGCAATGCGAACCCTGCAGGAGGGACTCCACACCAGTGCAGCCAATCAGCATTGCTCGGCCGACTCGTTCGCAGAGGCCAGTCTGTCAATCTACTCCCGTCGCCAGACGCTCGTTGGTTTTCTTCATAACGGAACTGAAACTGTAGAATTGAGATAACAAACACGTAATGATTCGTTAAGACACTGTATATTCGACAATCCAGTCCAAGATGCGAAACTGACTTATCAATCCTGCAAAGATGAATGTCGTGGATAACGTTCTAGACTCCAGTCGGCGTACGCTTCGCGAAGTTCTAATGTTCCGATCACGCTTTGACGTCTGTCTCACCCATGCCGTAGAAGAGCAAGTCAGTATCTGAATAGTGGGCCATCCAACAGATGATGATACCGAAGTTCCTGCTCCGCTCGCTCTCATGAATACCCATGTTTCTTTTCTTCCCATCGACTGTCTGTTCGGAGCAGAACTTTCCAAGCGCTTCTCCCTTCTTTCGCCTGAAAAACCCACCTCCCTTGGACGGCTTTCCTACACCCCTTGTCTTCCCCAGCTATTCATTCAAACATATGTTGGCAAGGGTCCTCGTTTGCACTCACCTCCCTTGAATGGATTCGTAGACGTCTCAATGCCGAAGCTAGAATACCACCTCTCAAGCCTACATCTCACCTTTCAAAGCTGGGTCGCACCTTTCAAAGCTGAGTCACACCTTTCAAAGCTGGGTCGCACCTTTCAAAGCTGGGTCGCACCTTACAAAGATGGGTCATACCTTTCAAAGCTAGGTCGCACCTTTGAAAGCTGGGTCGCACCTTTGAAAGCTGGGTCGCACTTCAAAACTGTGTCGCACCTTTCAAAGCTGGGTCGCCCCCTTCAAAGCTGGGTCACCTTTCAAAGTTGGGTCACCTTTCAAAGCTGGGTCGCACCTTTCAAAGCTGGGTCGCACATTCCAAAGCTGGGTCGCACTTCGGCGAGAATGGGTCCGTAAACGGTGCCCTTGCACTGGATTCTCAGAAATCTTAAAGCTGAAGATGAATCCCACCTCTAAAATCGAATCTCACCTCTCAAAACTGCATTGCACCTCTGCGAGGATGGGTCCGTAGACGGCCCCCTTGCACTGAGTGCGGTTGTGGTCGAGCCACTCACACGCCTGCTTCAGCTCCCTGTCACCCGCCCGCTCTATGCGCCGGTTGCGACTGTTGGCCACTTCGTTTATGCTGGTGGGCGGAGAAGAGGGGGAGGGGGGGGGGGGGAGAGGGGGAGTGGTGGGTGGTGGAAGGGTGGGGTTGGAACATGTCAAACCCCTCCCTATGCGCCGGTTGCGACCGTTGGCCACCTTATGCATGCTGGTGAGGGGAGGGGGAAGGGGGGGGAATGGTGAGGGAGCATGAGACCTCTGTATGTGCCTGTTGGCGCATGAGGGTGGGGGAGACGAGGGGGGAGGGAAGGGGGATGAGTGTCGACTCAAATGGTGCTCTTGCATTACGCGGCCTTGGGAGAGGAAGGGGAGGGGCGGTATTGCAGATACACAACTCAATAAACCCAAATCTCCCTCCTCTCACTGCCTCCCACCCCTTCGCACTGCTCTCGTCCCCTCTCACTGCCTCACATCCCCTCTCACCCCGTCTCACCGCCTATCACCCCCTCTCACCGCCTCTCACCCCCTCTCACCATCTCTCCACGAGCCCCAGCTGCCACTTTCCTTCTCGCCTCTTCTCACCCCTCACTCTCCCTCCCTCACACCCTTCTCACCGTCTCTCAACGCGTCCCATCTGCTCCCTCAGCACACTCATCTGCTGCTCCAGCTGCCGCCCCTCTCGCTCTTTCTCCCCCGCCTGCATCCGCAACTCCCTCCCACGTTTTGCCAAAGGATCCTGCCATCGGCCAGACAAGGGTGAGTGAAACAAACGGAGGGAGCGAGGGGAGGGAGATTTGAGACATTTGAGGGAGAAAGGAAATAAGATGACGAAAGAAAAAAAGGGAACTTGAAGAAAGGGTTTGAGGTTCACGTGGAGGAGGAAGAGGCATGCATGCCACTCAAGCAAGCAAGCAAGCACAGACTGAAGAAAGAAATCTGCCTTCCGCCAAGTGCCATGTGGCAACTGGAATTGGTGGCTTGTCCTTCAACCTCCTGTGCTGGTCTCACACTCAAGTCTCAATAGTACCCACTTCACTTCTCTGTACCATATCTAATTGTTCGGCTCGTCTAGGCATACAGAAAAGGGCCAGACACGGGGGAGAGATGGCACGGAAATGGAGTGATGAAGCATCTCAGAAAGAACAGCTCCCTGTTTCCCCCATCATGCACCACAGCGTCCTTGGGTGGCTTCATTTCCAGCAGGGAGGCCAGCTGCGACTCCAGCTACTGCTGGTTGCTCGAGCGCACGCACACACACTCACTGCCTCACCCTCACTCATCATCTCGTGCCCCATGCCCCATGCCCACCCCCCCCCTCTTCCATCACGCACCACGGCGACCTAGGGCGGTTTCACTTCCGGCAGTGCGGCCAGCTGCGCGCGTCCAGCTGCTGCAGGTCATCCCGAGCTCGCTCCAGAACACGCACGCACCCACTCATCGCCTCACCCATGATCTCATGCCCCACGCCCCATGCGGCCTTTTTTCCATCACGCACCACGGCGGCCTTGGGCGGTTTGACTTCCGGCAGGGCGGCGAGCTGCGCCTCCAGCTGCTGCAGGTCGGCCAGTGCCTTGGCCAGCCGCTGCTCGCGACTCTCCGCCTTCTTCTTCGCCTCCAACACGTCGCGCTGCCTCTCCACCGCCTGCTGCACCTGTGGGGGCACACAGGGGGAGTGTACATTGTACAGTGTGTGGTGTGATGTGAGAAGACCTTTTGGGGATAGACTACGTTGATCTCAGCATCTCGCCCTCCGCGCCTCCACCACGTCACGCTGCCTCTCCACCGCCTGCTGCACCTGTGGGGGCAAAGGGGCCGAGAATGTGTACAGTACAGTGTATGATGCACAGTGTGAGGAGAGGAGCAATTTCAGATTCAAACTAAGCTGGTCTTTCTCTCTTGCCATGTGCACCTCCCCCACCACGTTCCGCTCCCTCTCAAGGGAGGCGAGCAGCTGTGAGATGATGTGATGCGAGGAGCACGTCTCTCCCAGGTGCAAGGTTGGTACCTTTTGCGGTGCCCCAAACGTCAGCAAAGCACGTCAATACTACCCTTTGCCACCCTTCTCTTCGCATCAGCTGGTCACTCTCCCTTTCCCCACATTCCTTATTCCTCCTCACCAGCTGGTCGCTCTCCTCTGCCAGTTCCCGCAGCTTCCTCTCCCTCGCCTCGTTCTCGCGCCCTATCTTGGCCACCAGCGATGCAAACCCCCCTCGACTCTCCTTCAACGCTCTGGAGGGGAGGAAAGAGTGGTGGAGAGGGGTTGAGAATGCGGGAGAGGTGGTGGCGAGGAGTGAAAAAAGTAGAAGTCAGACCAGCAACCTGAATTCATTAACTGTTAACTGGTAACCACGTAACATCCTCTAACACTCAGCACTCACACAAGGGGGTCCCGAGCGGCCATGACTTGTGTCTGCAGGTCATCTCTCTCTTTGTGCATCGCCTCCACCGCTACCTCCATCTCCCTCACACGCCGCTTCACCCGCTCGTACTTGAGCCACGGCACCTTCTTCTTCATCAGCGCTACCTGCATGGGTGGAGGGTAGAGTAGGAGGGGGGGAAAGGGAGCGGAAGGAGGAGCGAATGAGGACGTCATCGCCCGCCGCTTCATGCGCTCGTACTTGAGCTATGTCACCTTCTTCTTCATCAGTGCGACCTGCATGCAGGGAGCAGAGGGGGAGAGAGTGGGAGGAGGAGAGGGCGGAAGGAGGAGAGTGGAAGTGGGAAAGAGAGTCTGGTTCTTGTTCCTCCCCACCTTACACAGGTTTCGACCTGCAGTTGCCACTAGAGAACGGTACAACACTAGAGAGCTAGGGGTGCGTGGGAGCAAGCTAAGGAGAGAGTTGGAAGTTGGAGGTAAGCTTCAACTCACCAAAATGCACCTTCGTGTCGAGACGGAATCAAACTGGCTCAATCGCTTCAGCAATATGAAGTTGAACCAAACTGAACAGTTTGAACTCAAACCATGCTCCATTCAAGTCGAACTGTATCTGACAGACAGGATAACTGTGCTCAGGTCTACTCACACACACCCATCACGCCTCTCACACCAACCTCCACCTCCACAAGGTGACCTTTGGGACAAATCACCCCCCAACAGCACCACTCACCTCCTTGAGAATGGCCTCCCTGCGTTGCACCTTCTCCACATCCACCTCCACCTGCGCGTTCGCCACCTGCAGCTTGCCCAGCTGCTCCTCGTGCGACACCAGCGTCTGCGGCGCAATAGGGACATGGCATGCATGGGCGCATGGAGGCATGCGGTCAAGAGATCCATACCATGGGTTGGATTGAAAACATGCATGTAGGTTGGTATGCTCTTGGTGAGTATGTGTGCAGGCAATTTGGATTAAAAATCCTTAGGTTGAGAAGTCCAATACCTGCTTAACCAGCACTGGAGAAATGCGCAGCTGCTCGGCACAAAAAGGAAACCCAGCCCCATTTCACGGCGTGCAGGGTGGCGAGGGCGTCCTGCTGGTCCTTGAGGAAGGCGTGCTGCTGGGACAGCTGTGGGTCTACTCTTGAGTCGACACAAAGGTACCCCCACCCACTCCAGAAGCCCCCACTCCAGCCCCATGTCACTCACAGCATGCAGGGTGGCGAGGGCGTCCTGCTGGTCTTTGAGGAAGGCGTGCTGCTGGGAGAGCTGTGGGTCGCCCACTGCCCTTTGCGTCTCCTCCAGCAGCTGTATGGGCGACATGCCCGCGAACGCACACACCCGGTCCTGTGGGAGGAACTGCGGGTGACAAGGGGGCGGAGGGCGAGAGGGGATGGGAAAGGGAGAAGCGGATAGGGGGAAGGGGGATGGGGAAGGGGGAAGGGTGATGGGGAAGGGGTAAAGGGGATGGAGAAGGGGGAAGGGGGATGAGGAACGGGGTTCGATAAAAGGGGGATCCTCCAGCAGCTGCACGAGTGACATGCCTGCAAACACACACATGAGGTCTTTCAAGAGGAACTGCAGCTGAGATATTCGGGGGAAATGAGGGGGTGTGGTGTGGCTAGAAGAGGGATTCGGTTGAAGTGAAAACAACTGTGATGGCGTTGAAGCAGAAGAAAGAAGGGGGGCGAGCGAGATGGGGTGGGCTGTTGTGCATGTCTTTGGAAGGCACACCTCTTGCCCCACTGCACTGCACTTGCCTGTGTGAAGTTGGAAATCTGGATGTTGAAGCGTTTCATGCACTCCTGCACCTGCTTTTGAGACGTCTCAAAAACACTCTCATTTCACGTCGCAGCATGCCCCACAGCACTTGAAGCGCTTCACTATGTGCCCCACAGCACTTGAAGCGCTTCACTATGTTCCCCACAGCACGTGCCTGTGTGAGGTTAGAGATCTGGATGTTGAAGCGCTTCATGCACTCCTGCACCTGATCCCGCCGCACTCCATGCCCTGCGCAAAGGGGGAGAGTGCATCGTACGGCGAGAGAGAGAACGGAAGGAGGGGCAGAGCGCATAACAGCGAATGCAAGGTTCATCATGCAACACAAGTGTACAATTCCTAAGAAGGCACAGCATTGCCATGCGTATCGAAATGCCATACCACGCCTGTCACTGCACAGCATGCCGCGAGTCAGAAGTGAAGTTCAATGACGCCCAAATCTCACTTAGAAAGTCGAGTTTCTGTGCCTTTTCAAACCACAGCAGGCAGGCATACCGTTGTTGAGGAGCCAGCCATTGTGGTTCTCAAGTGATCCTGCCCGTGGCATGCCTTTTGAGTCGAGTCAACCGTTGAGCAGCCAGTCAGTGCGGTTATCAAGTGATTCTGCCTGCCTGTGACATGCATTTGAGTCGACCCAAAAGAAGAGTCAAACCATTGAGCAGCCAGTCAGTGCGATTCTCAGTGGAGATCCTGCAAGTGACTTGCCTCTGAGACGAATCCAGAGTCATACCGTTGAGCAGCCAGTCAGTGCGATTCTCGATGGAGATCTTGCGGGTGATGTACACCTCTTCCCCCGCCACGTCCCCCCGCAGCACGATGCTGATCTCCGCACTGCGCTCCCCCCGCTGCACAAACTCCCCCACGTGCGCCGCCCGTCCCAGCATCTGCCACCCAGCACAGAGGGGAAGGAGATGGGCGGAGGGGGGGCGGTTGGGAACGGGGGATGGGGTTGTGCGGGGGAAAGGGTGGGGAGAGAGAACAAGTCGCGACTTCTGAAAGTTCTCAGCGGTGAATCCAGTGATGCTGACTGGCGTACACTCCCCAGCGCAGCACGATGCTCCGCACTGTGCTCGCCCGCTGTGCGCCGCCCGGCCCAGAATCAGCAAACCAGCAGATCAGGGAGGGGGCCAGAGGGGGGAAGAAACAGGAGGGTAGGAATGGCGAGGGTAGGAATGGCGAGGGTTACAAATGAGGAACCTCGGAACACAAGTAAAAGTCAAGCTTCTGAAAATACTGTTTCGAGGTCTCGGGTCTACGGGAGGAAGAGAGGGGAAGCAGCGATTACCTTGGGGTTCTCCGCCCAGCCCCAGCCCGATGGCGCAGACGCGGGAGCTCTTGCCCGACAAGTGTGCCACCAATCAATCACGCACTCGTGCACTGATGCAGCTCACCTTGGGTTCACCCCCCAGCCCCAGCCCGATGGCGCAGACGAGGGAGCTCTTGCTGGAGCCGTTGGGTTGAGTCCAGGCATCAGGTTCGGTGTGACATAGAAAGAGTGAGCACAATGCTCACCTTGGGTTCTCCGCCCAGCCCCAGCCCGATAGCGCAGACGAGCGAGCTCTTGCCGGAGCCGTTGGGCCCCACGATGAGGTTGAGGCGCGGCGAGGGGCGCGCTGAGATGGATGCATACGTCATGAAGTGTTTCACCTGCACCAATAGGATATTGCCAGGCTGGAACCCGTCCTCGCCTCTGATTGGTGTGTGGAGAGCAACATCAACATTGGCAGGAAGAAGGGGAAGAGAGACATGGGTGCAGAGGGGGGAGGGCGGAGGAAGGGGAGGGGAGTGAAAGGGGAGGGAAAGGGAAGGAAGGGGAGGAAGGGGAGGGGAGTGAGAGGGTTGTGATGGGAAGCTGGAAGGTGGGAAGGGATGGTCGTGAGGAGCAAGCAACGTAATCACTGTGGTATGACGCTGAAAAATCAATTTTGAGGCTGCTCAGAAATAGTACTGTGGCATGGCGCTAGGATTCAAACTTTTGGCTTCCGCAAAAATAGTACAGTGGTATGACGAGGCGCAAAGAATAAGGTATTGAGGCTCCTCAGAAATAGTACCGTGGCATGGCGCGAGGAAGAGCCACTGTTGCCTGTGTCGGTGTGCCTTCAGGTCCGTCCCGATCCTCCCCCATACCGGACGGAGTAACCGGACGTTCGGCGTCTTCTTCAGGCTCGGCGCGTTCGCGAGCGCGAGGCTGCGTACTAGGTCCGGCAGCCTGCGAATCCCGAACGTAGCCATCTGGCTCGTAACCGACAGCCTCGGCATGATAGCCGTTGTTGCTCTCAACCACTTTTTCCTTGCCCTTGGCGCGAGAGACGTTTTCCCGCTTCGCCAAGATAGCAGCCTCCCGTTTCACCATTCCAGCTTGGCGCCTCACGGCCACGTCAGCTTCACTTTTCACCGGGCCCGCGGCTCGTTCTCGCTTCACCACGTCAGCCGGCTGCTGCGAAGAGGAACCATCGCCGCCGCTCGCTCCCCCCGTCCTAAGTCGCTTGCTCCGGCGAGTCCCGCTTTCATCTGAGCCGTTCATCTCCGCACGACGATCATCCCGTCGCTCACGCGTCGTCTGTGGTTCGGTATGGGCCTCCTCCGCGGCTACCTCCGCAATCCCCGCTACCTCCTGCCCCTCCTCCGCATCCTCTCGCTCCACCTCCTCCTGTACGCTCGTCGACCGGGTCACGCGCCTCGCCGACTCGCCTGAACGACTAACGCGCTCCCGCTTCGGCGCCATGAGCCTCGCTCGACCCGTGGATGACTATCGCGAAGGGTTAGAGCACGACACAATCTATGTTGACGACATTACTACAGAGCGCAACATTGGAAAGCTAATGCGAGCTCTCAAAACTGAACGAAGGATACAGCAAGGCACGAGAACCTACGAAGCAGAGCGACGTTTATATCCCAGAGAAGGACTGCTAGCCATGCAGAGTGAGGACTGGGGCCAAGCCGGAAACTATCGGGGTCGTTCCTAGGGAGTTGCAAGCGTATTTTCGAGGTGACGGTTCGCTCTCAAAGTGTAAATCACGTTCCAACTTTGGAACCGCTTTCTGTTCTGCAAAGTTCGTTTCCCGCCCTTCCAGCATTCTTCCCACTGCAGCACGTGCGGAGAGTGTAGTCACTTGAGAAAAACTTGATATACGGTATCAGAAGCAATATTATATACACTAGCGTTATTTGTTGTACTACAACCAAGCATTTACTAGTCGGCATTCCACGAAGTGCATCTCATGCCTTGACTTGAATGGCCACTTTCATGTTGCCAGGCGAGCAGTGGCCAGGCACACTGCAGGAGAAGTAAAGGGTCTGGCCCCTTGCTGACTGCGGCACCTTGTACCTGAGCATGTGACATGATCATCAAAACAAGCAGTTGACATTTCACATACTAGACGAAATCGAGCCATAAAACCAATCCAAGGCAGCCCACCATCTAACAAAGCTCAGTCACTCCAGCTATCGAAGGCAATTGTTGGTGGAATCATCAATGGTCCAAACTGGCTAGAAAACGGTGTGCTCACCTGTACGTCTTGGAGTTGACGATCCGTGTGAGCTTCTTAGCAGCTCCGAAGTCACAGCTTCCATAGGTGCCCTCTGAGTCCATGAGGACCACGTCATGGGGAATGACGCCCCTCCACTTGAACACTGCAGGTGCGTTTATGTGCCACAAATGGTGAGAGAGGAGCACATGCGCGCACACTGGAATCAGTGATGAACCGGATGGAACAGGTAACGGACTGGATGGAATGGGTAATGGACTAAGCTCACGAGCCACACATCACGGGCCACAAGTCACAGGCCATGAGCAACAGCAGGGTATAGAGGGGACATTCAAGTTTTTAGATGCCTCAAAGCTCACTGCTTTTGAGTAAGAGCAGAGCCGAGCAACAACACATGCCACGAGTAGCAGGAAGGTGACAAGGAGACGTACCGAGCACATCGCCTGCACGAGCAGCCGTCGAGGGGCGCCAGTTGTGCAGGTTGTAGCGCCAGGGACTGCGCCCCCTGCCACCCACGGTGATCGCTCTGGCCTGACATCAGGGGAAGGGCACGAGGAGAGAGGCGTTTTGTCTCCAACGAAACATGAAACGAAACGGATGGACACGAGGGAAGAGGGCAAAACACGCGATGAAATGGCCAATACTGAAATGAACCGCTGTGACAATGGCTGGTTTCACAATAGGTTTCACACATCGGGAGCATGTCGGATTAGCTTTCTGTGGCATACTCCCTAGCTTCATAGGAATAAAAAATGCAGACTCTGAGTCGGAGAGAAGAGTGCAGTAGGGGAGTAAATTCGCACCTCTGCTTGGGTTGCGCCTGAAGCCAGAAAGAATTCATGTCGTTCAACCCGAGTTTGCGGATCGCGAGGATGGCAAGCGAAAAAAAGAGAAACAGAAACACAGAATAACGCGGGGAATAGAACACAGAGAAATGGGGAGAGAAGGCAGAACAGAGGAACAGGGGAAGAGGAAAACGCAGCAAACAGGGAGACAGGGAAGCAGAGAGAGAGAGAGAGAGAGAGAGAGAGAGAGAGAGAGAGAGAGAGAGAGAGAGAGAGAGAGAGAGAGAGAGAGAGAGAGAGAGAGAGACAGGGAAGCAGAGAGAGAGAGAGAGAGAGAGAGAGAGAGAGAGAGAGAGAGAGAGACAGGGAAGCAGAGAGAGAGAGAGAGAGAGAGAGAGAGAGAGAGAGAGAGAGAGAGAGAGAGAGAGAGAGAGACAGGGAAGCAGAGAGAGAGAGAGAGAGAGAGAGAGAGAGAGAGAGAGAGAGAGAGAGAGAGAGAGAGAGAGAGAGAGAGAGAGAGAGAGAGAGAGAGAGAGAGAGAGAGAGAGAGAGAGAGAGAGAGAGAGAGAGAGAGAGAGAGAGAGACAGGGAAGCAGAGAGAGAGAGAGAGAGAGAGAGAGAGAGAGAGAGAGAGAGAGAAGAGAGAGAGGAGAGAGAGAGAGAGAGAGAAGGAAGCAGAGAGAGAGAGAGAGAGAGAGAGAGAGAGAGAGAGAGAGAGAGAGAGAGAGAGAGAGAGACAGGAAGCAGAGAGAGAGAGAGAGAGAGAGAGAGAGAGAGAGAGAGAGAGAGAGAGAGAGAGAGAGAGAGAGAGAGAGAGAGAGAGAGAGAGAGAGAGAGAGAGAGAGAGAGAGAGAGAGAGAGAGAGACAGGGAAGCAGAGAGAGAGAGAGAGAGAGAGAGAGAGAGAGAGAGAGAGAGAGAGAGAGAGAGAGAGAGAGAGAGAGAGAGAGAGAGAGAGACGGAAGCAGAGAGAGAGAGAGAGAGAGAGAGAGAGAGAGAGAGAGAGAGAGAGAGAGAGAGAGAGAGAGAGAGAGAGAGAGAGAGAGAGAGAGAGAGAGAGAGAAAGCACGGAAGCAGGAAGAGATGGGAGCACAGGAGTGAAGGGGGACAGAAGACAGGGAAGGAGGACAGAAGACAGGGAAGGAAGCACAGAGAGACAGGAAGGAGGAGGGTATGAGTGTGTTGCTGAATGGTTTGAACAGCATCCGACAGTGACACGGCGTGAGGACTGGAGTGGGAGAGGAGCCGAAGCCGCAGATTTGGGTAAAGGCGACGCGAGGCCAAAGAGAATCAGCAAATGAAAGCGATGCCTTGGAAAGGCTTTGATAAATGGGCGTGAGGAAGAGGCCAGCCAAGCAACGAACGCAACCAGGCGAGAGACGGTTCAAGCGGAAGGCAGACGGTTCAAGCGGAAGGCAGACGGCTCAAGCGGAAGGCAAACGGTTCAAGCGGAAGGCAGACGGCTCAAGCGGAAGGCAAACGGTTCAAGCGGAAGGCAGGCGTACAGAGCAGGATGAGAAGCGCAGCAGTCGCGAGGGTGACGGCAGGGAGCGAGCGAGCCATGGCGATAAGCGAGGTTCGAAAGGCTTCAAGAGATGATTCAGTTTTTGAAGCGCTTCGAAAGTTGTGAGGCTTGGACAGATGTGACTCGAGCCGGACACCTGTGGCGCTGCGGCGCCGAACGGTTGTGCGAAGCGGCAGGAGGAAGACGGACTGTCGTCGGAATCGCCGAGCGGAAAGGTACACCTTGGCGGACAGGTCACCTTGGAGAGGGTGATAGACCTCGCTCAAAAATCTTCCAGCAACACGCTCTCAAGCGACAGTTGATAGACGGTCGCAGTAGGCGATGATAGAAGCTATGCGTCAGCTCTGCCTGTCCCCAACCGTTTGCTTTGAAACGCTTCAATACGCCACGGCGCAGGCGATAGGCGCGCTGTGTCTGACCTGCCCGCCCGAGTGATGTCTCTAAAGCACGGCCTTGGCGATAGAAGCGCTGTGTCAGTCCTGACCGTCCTTAACCGCCGCGCGCGATCTCAGATCTGTACTCGAACCGCCAAGCACGGGCTTCGCGATTACAGGTTTTTGCGGTGAAGAGAGGTGAGTCTAAAAGCTGGGCTTCTGTGCGAGTGAATCGTGAAGTAACGCCTAGTGTGTCCAAGTCTCTGACATCTTTGAATGCATTACTCATAAATTATATATGTAGCCGCTCTTCTTACTCCGGTCCTTGCTCCTCGACTGGAAAGTACTCCGTCCTGCACTCGCACGCTACGAACCGACGTCGCGTCTTGCGTGAATCTGGTAAAACAATTCGGCTTAGGTCCGTTGCTGCCGGGGGAACCTGGATTCTAAAATGCGGCTGAGCCGCGTTGCTTCTCCCCGCTCGCCGTGCGCGCCACTGCATTTCGTTCAAGCGTTGGTGTCTGTGGAGCAGGGAAGGGACATGCTCTCACACTCGCGCGCAGTGTATACAGTACAAAGGTCGAGATGATGCCGCGTGCAAGGTTTGACCAGCTCGAATTGAGACGAGAGGGAAGAAAGCAAGACGCCACGTTGCTTCCTAATCGTCCTGCCAGCCACATTCCGCAGCATTCTGAGCGGCGGCTCTCTCACTGTCTCTCCTCGCACTCACTCCAAGCGCCACCGACAGACTAATGGTCCGTACTGTACAGCGATCCGACCTGTCCAAAACCATAGTGACCATTCATTCAGTCACCAGGCCTAGTACTATACCGTGCTTCGCTTCTACGTACATGGGCGAATGTGGGAACGGCTCGTCTGAGGAAGGCTCGCGTAGCGGCGACGACGAATCGCAAAGAAACGCGTGGTGTCGGCGACACATCCTGCTTTGAATGATTGCTCAAAGCAGGTTTTGGTCCATTCACGCTGTGGTGTGTGGTGGTGAAGGGAGGAGTCAGCCAATGGAAGCTCTGTACAGTGGGGATATGGGGGGGGGGGGGGGGGGGGGGGGGGGGGAAAGGAGTTAAGTCCGTAGGTGCATGCACCTGTGGTCCAAGAAGTGGCTGGATACGTACCCGTTAATGGCTTCACTCGATGGCTTGTGAAGCAGACTTGACTCGATATTATCTGAAAGGTGTGAATTGAGCAGAATGTCTCTTTTCCAGTTGGCTAAAGTTCAGTTCAGTTCGAGGTATCATCAACTTTCACCATACTGCAATGTAATGAGTGCTGTCAAGCGCGACAAAACCGAACAGCAAGATAAAATAACTTATTGTACTGTATGGCGTTTAAAAACAATTGACACAGGAACAAGTCAGCCGCATGAAGCTCTATGGTATGTTTCTTCACTGCATTCTCCCACAAGCAGTTATACACAGTACGCCAAAAGATTAGCTAACAGCACGCCAAAAGAAACAATGATAGTAGAAACTCAAGCATGGATTGGTACTGCCACTTTCATGTTATCCAAAGAGCAGTGCCCAGGCACGCTGCATGAGAAGAGAATGGATGTGCCCTTGGCTGGCGCTGGCACCTTGTACCTGACGCACATTCAAACGATTGGTGGGGGGGCGCAAGAAATAGCCATTGAAGCAATGACTGCGTAAGAGGATGGTAACAATTGACTGAGCTATTTGGGAGCAAAAAATACGTGTAGTGGAAGACCTTGGCGGATAATCGTGTGGACTGCAGTGACAGCCGCAAGAGGGATCACAGCCACCAGGCAAGGAAGTCCAGCAACAGGAAGCTACAGCCACCAACACAGATTCATCAAAATGTGTTGCACACTCACTTGTAGTTCACCGCCCCATTAGTCCGTCTCCCCAGCAGCAAAACCAAAACCGCAGGCATCATGCGCATCTACAAACATAAACACAATTGCACTCGTGTGCTCTTCCCAACTCTTGTGATGCCAGTCGTCATAGTAGCAGCCCCAAAGCCGCAGGTACCGGTGCCAAGAATATATAAGCTGGAATGCCTCAACTCAAAACGCTCCTATGCGCACTCACTTGTACTTCCCCGCGCTTGTGATGCCGGTCTTCTTAGTGGCAGCACCAAAGTTGCAGTTGTTGTACGCGTCCAAGCTGTTCATGATCCACACGTCGTGCGGCACGCCAGTCCACTTGAACACTGCAGGCAGGGGTGCAGAAAGTGGGGCAATGAAGCACACGCAAGTGAGGCCAGTGCGATGGGGCCAGTGGGGTGAGGCAGCTCCGAAGTTACCGTTGTTGTAAAAGTCCACGGTGCAGTGGGGAACCGAAATAAGGAGGGGGCATTCTTTATTATAACATCCCCTTGCAGCGACCACTGTCAAGGAGGGGACATGAATGACCCCCTCTGGCTTCCAGTTCTACACGCCGAATCCCCACGGACTGAATTTTGGGTCGACTCAAAAGCCACCTCGCTTACCGAGAGTGTCCCCGGCGTGAATGACGCCCTTGGGCTTCCACTTCTTCACGCCGAATCCCCACGGACTGAGCCCACTGCCTCCCACTGTGAACACCTTGGCCTGTTGGGCACGGCGATGGCAGATCGGAAGAGAGTGAAAAGAATAAGAGGAAGACAGAGACTCAAAGCGGCCAGGATGTAATGAGACGACTTTTGAGACGTGCCAGGGTATAATGAGATAAAGAGCAGCAGAAAGGCAGAGGGGTGGCGCTGGGATGTGCGGAGAGGGTGAGGCGGAGAGGACGAACGGTGGGACTTGAGAATAAAGGACGGGGTACGGAAGAAGGGGCAAGAGGCACGAGGGCAAGAGAGCACGAGCACGAGACAGGAGAAGGGTAATGGGGCAAGAGAGCAGTACCTCTGACTGGATTGCGCCTGCCACCAGGAGAAATATGGAGATGGGTAAAAGGGGGAAGCAGCGAGGGGAAAAGAGACACGGGAAGGGGAAAAACTGGGGGGATGAGCGAGTAATGGAAAGAAATGTCAGAACATTATAGCTTACTTATTTGTGTAGGCTATAGTGGGGTATCCCATAGGGGGTACAACCCAACTAGGGTTTCCTATTTGTACTCACTTCGTTCATAGTTCATGCATTCTCTCGTTCACTTCTTCACATGGAATCAGAGCAGGTTCCCCTGTGGGAACTGTGCTTCGGGCCCACCACCTAGAACTTTTTTTTCTGCCCTGGCGCCCGCCCTAGTGCCCGCCCTAGCGCCCGCCCTAGCGCCCGCCCTTTCGAGCCGCCCGTTCGCGCCGCCCGTTAGCGCCGCCCGTTAGCGCCGCTCGTGCGGCTGCCCGTTCGCGCCGCCCTTTGCGCAGCTCGTAGCGCCGCCCGTGCGGCCGCCCGTTAGCGCCGCCCGTGCGGCCGCCCGTAGCGCCCCCCGTGAGCCGCCGCCCGTAGCGCCGCCCGTGAGCCGCCGCCCGTCGCCACCCTTTAGCGCCGCCCGTGAGCGCCGCCCGTGACGCAGCCGCCCGTGAACCGCCGCCCGTGACGCCGCCGCCCGTGACGCCGCCGCCCGTCCCGTCACCCACCCCCGTGACGCCGCCGCCCGTCCCGCCGCCCGCCCGTCACGCCGCCCGCCCGTGAGCCGGCGCTGCCCGCGCACCGCCCACCCGTGGGCCTTCAGCCCGCCCGTGAGCTGCCGACGCCGCCCGTGAGCAGCCGACGCCGCCGCCGCCACGCGTGAGCCGCCGACGCCGCCGACGCCGCCCGTGAGCCGCCGACGCCGCTGCCGCTGCCGTCGCCCGTGAGCCGCCGACGCCGCCGCCGCCGCCCGTGAGCCGCCGACGCCGCCGCCGCCGCCCGTGAGCCGCCGTCGCCCGTGAGCCGCCGACGCCGCCGACGCCGCCCGTGAGCCGCTGACGCCGCCGCCGCCGCCCGTGAGCCGCCCTGGCCGCCCGCCCAGCCGCCCGTGAGCTCCCCGCGCGCCGTCCCAGCCGCCCGTGAGCCGCCACCGAGCTGCCCCAGCCGCCCGTGCCGCCGCCCGAGCCGCCTGAGCCGCCCGCGCCGCCCTAGCCACCCGAGCCGCCCGAGCCGCCCTAGCCGCCCGAGCCGCCCGCGCCGCCCGAGCCGCCCGAGCCGCCCGAGCCGCCCGAGCTGCCCGAGCCGCCAGAGGAGCTGCTCTCCTGCTCCTGTCGGGCTGCTGCTGCTCCTGGGCTGTGTACCTGCGCCGCTGACCTACCCGACTCTTCCTGCC